TGCACAGCTGTTTAAGGTCCCTGAAAGGCAGTGTTAAGTATTGCTAGGACTATTTTCTTTTAATAATGTTTTGCCTGCTTACCAAAACTACCAGCATTGCAATGAAAAAGATCATTTATCCCGCTCCTGTGTTTGGTATGCTAGCTTTCTATTTCTTAATGCTCACTGCATTCACACATTTACCTTTGGCCTTAAACATCATACAGATGAGAAATTAATGTTAAAAATGGATTCTGTATAGCAGGGTTGTTCAGGGTCATTTTGTTATTTGGCACTGGGTCAGAGTCTGCTCTCTTGATATCTATCATGGCTTCATTAAGCATAGTAATTTTGGAGGTGTTTAGATGGTATATCAAAGTAAATTCTTTGCATCTGAAACAAAATTTTTAAGTGTTGTCTATGCTGCATTGTAGGGTTTAATCCACTGCAAATTCAACAGAGTTTTTTGCACAGAGCTACTTAGGAATACTGGGGAGGGCGCAGCAGACAGGAGGGGGAAAGATATTCAGAAAATACTTATTAAAAGAAACTAAAGCTATCCAAAGACAATTTTTCTGAAAAAAACTTTTGTGAAGGATGTTTCCTTAGTTTTCTCTCTCTTTTAGCCCAGTCAGTGCATCCCCGCAGGCACGCACCCATGCTGGCACCCCACTCCCTGGGACACCGCAGGGCCGGGGCCCGCACCCACACCCACAGCAAGGGCAGGTTAAGCTGAGCAAACACCCTCCTTCAAGCTCCGTATTTCTCCCACTTGATTGAATACAGTATTTCAGAAATTTAATATTCCATACATTTACGTGGCTGCAGGCATGACTGTTGAGGTTTGATTAACAACTGGAAACAGCAAAATTTCCAGTACTACGGAATGGAATAGATTAAGTCCTATAGTAGTGATTTATTAGTAATTTTGTTAATATTTTCTGCTTTGATGAAACTCTCATTTTTGCATGGGATTTTTCATTTTCATTTACATTGTTCAGATTCCAACCAAGATACTCTAAGCAAAAATAATCATTAAGTTTCCAGCTCAATCATCAATAGTAATTTCGTTTACAGCTTTTCTGACAATCAGGTATGCAAATTATCTGAACAATACAGACACAAACCTTTTAAAATGGATTTCTTTTCTGGTATATGATAGCCACTTTAAGCAAATTTCTCTCTTAGGATGTTCCTTATCACTATTTCTAGCACTATTTCTGTTTTTTAGATGGTGAAAAATAAAAATTCTCAGAGATTAGCATAAGATTTTAGTCCAATCAACCAGAAAAATACATCATTTCAGCTACAACTGTCTCCCCATTTACCAAAGTCTCTATACAGAAACACAGTTTACCTTCTATTTAACATGCAAGCATGTGACATTTCTTTGTTAACTAACCTCATATAAGCATTAATATACATTTTAGAGTGAGAAGTAAACTAGATAAGAGGCAAATACCAGGAAAAAACCCCACAAATGTACATAAGAATATTTCATCAAATGTGTTGTCATTACATTAAGTCCTTATTTATATTAGCTGCTCATAAACCTTACAGTTGGTTACTTACCAAAACAACTTGAAAATTGCAAACTTTTAATTAGTATTGTCTGCATCTCCACCTGACTTTTTTTTAATAATTATTCCCAATCTGCAAGAAGAAACTACACTGTATGAGTCATGTGTCCCATAAATCAGTCTGAATACCAGAATTTCTCAGTTTCCCAGCAGACCAAGAGTTATTTGCTAAAATAACTCAACACATAAAATGAATAATGCTGGTGGAAAAACCCATCATTTGCCGAAAGAAAATTTAAGAGCAAAGCAAGAAACTTAGCTATTTGAATAAACCATTCCCCTGATAACTTCAAGGAACATTTATGGTCCCTGCTTAAATTGAAAAAAGTTTGAATTATTTGTCTAATCAGTTAGAGACAGAGGGGTAATGGCAGACTGTACATTATGGTAGACCAGTGGTGGGACCTCACAGCAGCTTGCCAGGGAGAGCCACGCATGGGGCAGATTGGGCACAGTGCATGCTGTGCTGTCCCCTTCTCCGGGAGTGTGTGGCCGCGGGGGGTCATTACTTGAAAGGGCACATCTTACTTCCTTTTCTCAGCCCTGGTTGCCACAGCAGACATGAGAAGAAATGAAAAGCCAATCCCTACATGTCATCCACCTGTCATCCCTCAGAAACTTTCTTGGTTCTGACTCCATGGAAATGCATTCCCCTGCCCGGCATGGGAATATCTCTCTTCTGCTACTACCTCTGACATTTCAAATGAGGCCTGCTGGAAAGGAAAATGATCGCAGCCAGAAAAAGAGAGAGCACTTAGCACAGCTTGTCAAGAGCTAACATCCATGGACCGTGGCCTTCACACCAGGACAGTGCCCTTATCCAGTTACTGCTCGGCAGGGTCCTGCTTCTGAAGTGTTTGGATGTGCTGCCAAAGAAGGACATTCTTAAATATTGTGATGAATTCAGCTACAGATTCAACAGCAATCGCCTTCCAGCTGCCAAATGGAAAACTTGCATGGTATCATAGAGGAAGTCTTCTCAGAGTCAGACTGTCCTATGGAGCAACGCGCATCAAATGTCCCTAGAAAAGACAGGATGAAAAGTGCTCAAGCATGCAGTGTTACTTCTACCAAAACAAGAAATCTTGAAAGATGCCAAAGACAAAGCCAAAGTCATTTTTTGCAAGAGGCTCTTCTATCTCAGTCTGTGTTTGACCTACAGCACATATGTGAGGGCAGACCAAACTCCATCAAATTGCTCAAAAAGGAACCGTTAACTGACCAAAGAGGCTGGACAAGTATTAACACAGAATCCATTAATGAGGAGTTAAAGGGAGTGAAGCCACCTTAAAAATCTAAGAACACAAAGATGGGTCTGCTGAGTAGAAGGAGTAGATTAAGTTTCAGCTGACATGTGCATATATTTAAAATATCCAGTCTAGTGCTTTATGTATGAATGGCAAAGCTTTCAAACAAGGCCTGATCTCTGAAACACATACAGGCCACCTGCTTTGAAGGAGAGTTTGCATTTGATGCATGGATCCTCAGGAATAATCAAGATATTACCACAGTCCCAGAGCTCCTATACAGATAACCATACACTCGTTATAAATTTGAGCCTTCAATTTCCAATAAGCAGTGCCCCTCTACGATGAGATCGAAGGTCCCGGAGTTGCCGTTACTAGTAATCACTCGCAGCAGCAGCGAGAGAAGTACCCTGAGGAGTTTGACAGAGGGCATGGCAGGCTCTGAATTGAGCATTAGCAGAGAGGCAAATACTAGGAAAATATTACTGGGAAGACACAAAATCTCTCTTTACAAAATAGATTCATACTGAGACCAGTATGCTTTAGTGGGGATTTGACTATTTAAGTTAAAAATGCTTTCTGCAAGGATGTTTGTAAACGTATCACTTCCAGTGAAATGAATGGTAACTGAAGTGGGCAGTATTGTCCTCAGTTTTCCCAGCTGATCTCTTCACTACAGCAGTACAGGAGACCTCCACTGTACCAAAGCAACAAGAGAAAATTGCTTTTTAAACACTACAGTCTGTTTTTTCCAAAACCACAGCCTGTGCTATTTAACTAGTTGACCAACTGGTTTCCTTTGGCTATCATGTTTTGTAATTTTATGAACAAAAGACAGACATATGTGCAGAATCATATCGATGCCTTCCAGTTGTGGAATGCTCTCGTACACAAATAAAACAACTAAATCTTACTTATTTTTCTAAAAATATTCAGAGCCAAAGTAAGTGCACAGAATACAAAAAACTTAGCTATTGAAAAGCAACTTCAAAGCCACCTTATTTGGTCATTTCCTAGACAATCACAAGGAAGAAGGAATGTTCCTCAGCTTATGTACAATAATGTAGAAGAGAAAATAGTACAGGAAAGCAAAATTTCATGGTAAATAAAATCTTTTTACTGACAATGATGCTGCACCACAGGATAACACTGATTGCCTAGTTACCAAAGAGTAATTCAACCTGGATGATGTCGACTTCTCTATCACAATTAACGAGTTTATTTTTGATGTGCATGCTGACAGCTCCTAAAATCTAATTGAAAGTCATTTATGTGTAATTTAAAGTCTGATTATTTGAGTGCTGAAGTTCCCTGACAGTCCTTTATATTGGGAAGGGGAAATTTCTTAAGAAAACAAGTCACCTTTGCTATGGTAAAATAACTTCTCAATCTGATATGAAAGTCAGGCCTAAAGTTTTCTAATATTAACTTATGATGCAAAAATATGGTTTTACCTGAGAATAATTTCACAAATTATCATTTTGTAGATGGTAAGTCCTGAGCATAGGGGATAAAGGAACTTTTTATGTGTCTTCAAACGTTTCAAAGGACAAGGAATTGTCACTCAGTGAATGAGCTCTCTGGTCAAGAATATTTGCTACATTGTACTTGGAATTGATTGAAAATTTCACATGAATAATTTTTTCCACCAAAAAACCAGATTTTATTCTAAATCAATGTTTTCCATATGAAGATATTGACTACCGTATATTTTGTGTCAGGGCAAGTCAAAACATTGCATTTGGGTTTGTGAAGCTGGAACCTTTAATTTCAAGTTGAGTTAACATAAACCTTGATCTGGCTCAGCCTTGGGTGTTGCTTCCCATGAGCTATGCTCTGCCGCCGGACTACACTTTCTGTAATGCACGATGGGTGATCTTTGCTACTGAATCTTCTCTTCACATTTATTGTGGTAGCTCAAGTGGATGCTGGCTTTTATGTGAGCTTTCAAAACTTGCACATTTTTTATTTCACTAAAATACTTTTGTTAATCATCTAGTTAAAACTGTTTCATGGAAGGAAGCCTGATATTTCAAATTATGATGCTAAGGCAGATGAAAAGAAATATAGAAAGTAATCAAACTTTCCTATAGAAGGAAAGTCCATTTGCAGTTCTATGTGTGCTCTCTCTGGTTAATCTGATTCTGTTGTTATTTATATTTTTTTCATATTTTACATTATTTTCTAGGTACAGAGGAAGATGAACCACCGTATTCTCCTTTTCTCACTGTTCTTGGCTTCAGCATTTGCTGACAAAGAAAGTCAGAAAGCAAACCAAAACTTTTCTTCAAATAATACCAGTCATAAACGCCTGAAGAGAGACTGGATATGGAACCAAATGCATATCAAAGAAGAGATTGATACACCATTACCACACCATGTTGGCAAGGTAAGTAGCAGTCTGTTAGCAATGAATAATTAGAAATGTAGACAGCAAACAAGTATCTTGGAAAGTATTACTGGTTTGCAGCCTAGACAGAATAGAAGAGAAAAAAAGGAAATAGAAATGGGACTTAATACCAACATACTAATGTATTAAAACCATAATAATGTGGACACAGAGTAAATCAAGCATAATGTCAAAGGGATTCTAATTCTTTTGAAGAACACAAATAAATTTTAGAGAATGGCAAGTATAGAGCATCTGCAGTGCAGAATCAATTGTGTTGCATGCAGGTGCACAGTTAGGAAGGAAGTCTGGTGGCTGATGTATGTCAATATTTTTCTGGCAGCTCAAGATTCTTTCAAAAACCTAGGATATCAGCTAATAAAAATATATGCATTAAAAAACACAGTTTACATCTCTCAGCTCGGATACAAAGCAAAAGTGCTATGTTTAGGAATACTGTTACTCAATGAAAAAAATTGTTTCACAAAGTGAAAGAAAATAATTTTTAAAAATAATGAGCATTGACCTGCTCGCAAACTCATTTTCTTCAGGGCAGTGCTCATAAAATCCTGTGATTAACTGCATATCACCCAGACAAAGTTCTTCCAATCTAGTCTTTCGAATTGAACTACTTTGACACTTCTCAGATAAATGCAGTTGTACGTTTTCCTCCCATGTACAACAATCAGCATCTGTCAAGGCTGTCTCGGCAAAGTGAAACGGACCTTTCTGGATCAGTGCTGCTCACTGGCGGAAGGCACGAGAGAGAGAGAAAAGAGGCCGTAGGCTACTCTCAGCTAACACAGGGTATCTCTGTTTCATTTCAGACCAATTCAGTAGCAGATTGAGGAGAACGCTTCTATTCCTGGAGCTGTCCTAAATAAGAGTAATTCACTTTGTACTGCGCTCTGTGGTCTTTCAACAGTGGAATGCTTCTGATTACTTTTGCAATGGCTGTGTTCAGCGCGTTGCACTTGCAGGATTGAACACTTGATAAACCCTTTAAAAAAGGCCACAGCAGCAGCGTGGCAGAACTGAGTGACAGCTGCAGGAATATGCTGATACATTTTGATTTTATCTTTCATGACCTTGGATGCTTTCCTTTGTATGTTCATCCTCAGCTTTAGAAAAGGCAATCTTGGAAGTCTATACCTTCTACACTGAGTAAGTAAATAAAAATTGAGAAAGAAGGCACAGACTACACTATCTTCGAGACAAGGGTGAGGTTATTTCTCATGTTACATCTCCAGAGTTGCAAACTGTTCTTCAACAGTCCCAGCAGCCAGAAGCATGATTAAGCATGAGGAATGAGGGAAGAAAATTTTAATGACATATTTCAAAATAGAAAACAGAAATGAAAAAATGTTCAACAGTAAATGACATCTACGGGATAAATCAAATACTGAATACCAAACAGCTGCAATTTATGGCAACATCAGTAACAAAAGACTAGAAATTCTTCGTCAAACCCAGCAATTATTGATAAATAGCTTGATGAAATAAGAATGCTGATATAGTGCATGGAAAATTGTGGTTTAAACCTTCTATCAGTGTCCTTAGATGGGTGAAGGTATAGAAAGGGAAGAATCATCAGATTATCTGCAAATTAAATAATGTACAAAACCATTTGGGATTGGATTAAATTACATTTTAAAATGGATCAATGTTCGTTCCTTTTACCCCATCCCTTTTTCATTGCATATAATCTTAAATTTTAAAATCTATGGGGTGGAAATTTAATCCTATTGTCATAGCATGAGCCTAAAGACTGACCATAAAAAAATTGCATGTGACTAAACACAAGAAAACTGTCGGCTATGGCAGGAACTCTGCTAAATGCTAAATAATGGAGACTAATGCTGAATAATGTCAGTAGCTGTGAATGTAGATTTGGTTCTGTAATTCTGTGAAAACTAAGCAAAATCTCTGCTAAGTTCAAAAGGCTACTTGCAAACAAGGGTAGCTCAAACTGGCGGCGTGTGTTATTTCAGACATAATGAGGTCAATGATTTGTATGTGTCAACTGCATGAACAATTAACTGCATGAACTGCATGAACAATTTATATCTTTAGGAAATATGAGATATGATCAAAAAAATATGCTTCTTGATATATAAGCAAGCAAGTTTCAGTCTGGATGCAAGTTTCATCCTATAAGCCTGCATGGTTGTAGCTGCTGTGCTGCTGTTTGTTCAGTAGCACTCCAGCTGACATCAAAAGTCTTGATGGCTATTCTGGTTTCAAACGGAGTCTGAAGAAGTCCTGATTGTGTTTATCATCTGGTAGAAACTGTGTTGCATCCAGATGCCAAAGTCCACTTTTATCTCTTTGCATTATACTTTCCTTCTAGATCACATCAAGTGTAAGTAACAACAACGCTAAGTATATTATTGAAGGTGAATACGCCAACACCATTTTTAAGGTGGAAGAAACCAGTGGTGATGTGTATGCATTTGAGAGACTAGACAGAGAAAAGAAAGCAGAGTATGAGCTGACAGCTCTCATTATTGACAGAAGAAACAACCAGTCACTGGAACCCCCATCTAAATTCATTATCAAGGTTTATGATATTAATGACAATGTCCCTGTGTTTGTACAAAAAGTATTCAATGGATCTGTCCCAGAAATGTCACCAGTAGGTACGTTCTTCTATCACTCATTTCCCTTCATGTATCTGGTTAAAAAGCAGAATTTATGCTAAATATGCTGTTTGAAAATCCCTTTCTAGGAACCTCGGTCACCAAAGTGACAGCTGTAGATGCTGATGACCCAACAGTTACAGGTCATGCCACAGTTACCTACCAAGTCATTAAAGGAGACGAATACTTCACAGTTGATGACTCTGGTAGGTCAGATATGCAAATGTCATTACACTTTGTCCTTACCTTATTCTTTGAAGAAAATGCAGTTTTAAGCCTTATTTATTCTGGACAAGGGGAATAATAATTGAAAAATATAATTTTGACTATAATTTAGAAAGATTTTTCATTCACACTCATATAATGCTACTGTCTGCACCTGGAAATGAATGAATAAAGTCAGGGTATCAGGTGCCGTGAAATAAATGAGAAGTTAAAAGGTCACTTTTTTCCCCACTGATGAAAGGACTGACTAGGAGCTAATATAAGTTCATGTTTTCAGTGTAGCATAGATACCATTCCCTTGACCAAAAAGGAAAAGGGAATAGATAAGCTCATAGACAGGTGTACTCTTCGCTGGGTAAAAAACTGGCTGGATGGCAGAGCCCAGAGAACTGTAGTGAACGGAATTAAATCCAGTTGGCAGCCAGTCACAAGTGGTGTTCTCCATGGCTGAGTTCTGGGGCTAGTTCTATTCAACATCTTTATCAATGATCTGGAAGAGGGGATTGGGTGTGCCCTCAGTAAATTTGCAGATGACACAAATTGGGCAGGAGTGTTAATCTGCTCAAGGGTAGGGAGGCTCTGTAGAGGGATCTGGACAGGCTGGATCAATGGGCTGAGGTCAATTGTATGAGGTTCAACACGGCCAAGTGCTGGGTCCTGCACTTCAGTCACAACAACCCCATGCAACGCTACAGGCTTGGGGAAGAGTAAAGCTGCTGTAAAGCTGCTTGGCAGAAAAGGACTTGGGGGTACTGTTTGACAGCCAGCTGAATATGAGCCAGCAGTGTGCCCAGGTGGCCAAGAAGGCCAATAGCATCCTGGCTTGTATCAGGAATAGTGTGGCCAGCAGGACTAGGGACGTGATCGTCCCCCTGTGTTCTGCATTGGTGAGGCCACACCTTGACTACTGTGTTAAGTTTTGGGCCCCTAACTACAAGAAGGACACTGAGTTGCTGGAGGTCCAGAGATGGGCAACAAAGCTGGTGAGGGGTCTGGAGCACAAGTCTTATGAGGAGCGGCTGAGGGAACTGGGGTTGTTTATTCTGGAGAAGAGGAGGCTGAGGGGAGACCTTATTGCTCTCTACAACTACCTGAAAGGGGGGTTGTAGTGAGGTGGGTGTTGGTCTCTTCTCCCAGGTAACTAGCAATAGGACGAGAGGAAATGGACTCAAGTTACATCAGAGGAGGTTTCGACTGGATATTAGGAAAACTTTCTTTACTGAAAGAGTGGTCAAACATTGGAACAGACTGCCCAGAGAGGTGGTGGAGCCACCATCCTTGGTGTTCAAAAAACATGTAGATGTGGCACTTCGGGACATGGTTTAGTAGGCATGGTGGTGTTGTGTTGATGGTTGGACTTGATGATCTTGGAGGTCTTTTCCAACCTCAATGATTCTATGATTTTATAAATTCTGAAGCAGCATTCAATCAATAATCAATAATAACTCAACCCTTTTCTTCCCTAAACTTTCTTGTTTAATTTTCACCCAGTTTTAAAAATAACATCAGCATCTCTTGTAACCATACTAGTCCGCTGAAGCAAATAACTCAGATAAAGAAGTGCTCAGATGAATGCTCTAGATGCTGTAGTGACCAAGTTTAGACACTGTTAGACTGCTTCTAAGCAGGAAAGATCAGTTTAAAGGAATGTATTGTACAAAATGTCCCAAATATTCTGTCATGTAGAAAGATTTCTAACATTTCAGGCCTTAGAAAAATACCACTGTAAAAATGCTACTTAAAGTTGAATGTGTGGCATAAGACAAAAAGTTGCTGTCAAAATGAAGAGATGTTGGACATGCTGCAAAATCTAATAATTTTCAATGTTACTTTTTCAAAGGCGTGATTTCTACAACAAGGGCTGATTTAGACAGAGAGAATCAATCAACATATGAAATTATTGTTAAAGCAAAAGATGCTCCAGGGTCTTCTGGGGATTCAAGCACAGCTACAGTCATTATCACTTTAACAGACATCAATGACAACTTCCCAGTATTCAAACACCGTAAGTATAATGCAAGCACCGTATCATTTGGAAACCGAGGGTATAGCGAATTTATGTCAGAGTTCATCACAATTCAACTTTTCTTAAAAGTGGACAAAAGAATCTTACATATTCAGAAGGTCGTCTGCATTTCAGCCCTAGCTATATTTCCTGGGTGATGCACACCTAGAAGAGAAAATAAAAATCAGTATTAATTTCATCACATTGCACAAGATCTTGACAATTTTGAGAATTAATTATACTCTATAAAAAATACATCAAAGTGCTGTCTGTAGAGCTATATAATGCTGAATTCCCAATGACATATTTTTCTGTACGTCTAGAAACTAAGAACAATTTTTAACTAAGTTCTACCTTCCATGTACGCACTCTTTATGCCTTTTTTTCATTGTTTTTTTTTTTTTATCAGAATCATTTCACTTTCAAGTTCCTGAAAACATTTCAGTAGGAGGAGAAGTTGGCAGAGTCAAAGTAGAAGATGTTGATGAACCACAACATAGAAACACAAAATACAGTTTTGTCAGAGGAGATTACAGAGACACCTTTGAAATTGTAGCAAATCCATTCACAAATGAAGGAATCATTAGGCCAAAGAAGGTACTTTTCCCAGTAACAAAGACAATTATTTTGTTTTTCCATGTGTAACAGGTGTTTGATTCAGTTTGGGACTAGCAGCAGGAAAAAATGGAAATGCATGGAAGTCAGCATGAAATATGTTCACCCTGAAAACCCTGTTCTCTAAGCTCTGTGAGTAGAAGAGCTGGTGACTTACTAGTCCATTTCAACTGCCAGTCCCAGGAAAACCTAGAATTACTGCAAAGTGCAATGGGGACTATGTCAGATATTCAGGTTATGCCTTCGGGCTCCTCTCAAACTTCATATACTTGGATGCTTCAAAGAGTCAGTTATTTTAAGAGCTGAGCCAACTGACCAAGTCAAAGAATCTTGCCCTTCTGAAGCCCAAGTTCCACAACTTCCTTACTTTCATCAGGGTGTTTTCAGATCTTCCCCACTAAACCCTTATAACTCTTTAAGAGGGCCCAGACTCTCCAAAACATTTATTATGGTTTGCTCTTTGGTTTTTAATTCTCAGACCTACTTGCTTTGTGCCAAGGGACATTCCTGCATTATGCAGAGCACCACAAGCCAAGAGTTCATTGATTTAATTGACTTACAGTAAAAAAAACAAAAAGAGGAAGGACTATATATCACCTCCTGTAATCCTCAGATTGTCAGGAATGTGTTTTTCACTTCCAAATGTATCTCTGTAACTGTTAAGACTAGAAATGTCATTAAGAAGAAGAGAAAACTTTAAGGAAAAAAAGCACCAAGTATTCCAAGACCGGCAGTAAATTCTTCAGCTGTGGTCACATGAGGTGTAAGTGGCTTTCATTCACCAAATACAGCCCTTCCTCTGGTCTTCCCAGGACCTGAGGAATGCATTGCTGGCAACTTCTGCCCAGAGGAGAAGGAATAAGAAACCCCACGCATACACACACTGGGTGATTTGGAATAAGCTCATCTTTGAACACATAGTGGGCAAAGTTCACCCCACTGTTTTGTAACATGCTTTTGGCCATGCACGTCATAATTTTAAATATGCAGCCACGCAAGATAAAATTTCAACTGCAAGATAAGCACTATCCCTTCCATTTGCAGTGTCTACTCAAAAAGAAAAACAAGAGTCACCACAATTAACCACTGTGTATTTCACAGTGCTCTTACAATTGCAGGTGACATTGCAAAGGGACCCAAACTTTGAAACACGCGATAGTTCAGGCATTTCACAGAATCACATTTCTTACTGCCCTAGCTCCTGGCCTTCCTTCCATTGTGCGATTCCCTTCATAATCTCAGTTAATGGGAAAAACAAGGAAACGGATGTCTTTTATCACTAAGTGTCCCACCTATCAGTCAGTGCAGCTATGAAGTCTGCCTTGAAATGATTTCAGAACAGAAAGCCTAGCCAAGAAGAGAAGAATCTGGTCCCCAACCTTTGAGAAAAAGGAGCTAAACAAGAATTATAAAAAGAAAATTATTTAGACCAAGAAATACTTGCTGAACTGAGAATACTGGATTAATCTGTTCAAACCCAAAAGTTCCTCAAACCACTCAATGAAAAAGAAGTTCAGTTTGGAAATGTTCTCCCAAGAGTCTAGCTAAAATGCAATTTGGTAATATTTCCAAACATGAATTAGAGCACAGAGCTTAAATTTGCATAGATAGCTAATGCGAACTTTAGACATCTCCAAAGGAAGAATATGTGTTTGTGTCTTTTTTCTAGCCCCTGGACTTTGAAAAAGTAGCAGAATATAGGTTTGACATTGAAGCAACAGATCCCACAGTTGATCTTCGCTATTTTAAATCCGGAGGCTCTAGGAGCATTTCAAGAGTCACCATTGAAGTCACTGATGTTGATGAGCCTCCGGTCTTCACTAAACTACCGTATGAATTTAAAGTAAGAGAAAATGATCCAGAAATAAAAACACTAGGTTCAGTTTGGGCACACGACCCTGATGCAGCCAAACGGAAAATCAGGTAACACAACACCAGCTTTAGTAGTCCTATTTTAAAGTAGAGAATTTGTTAATGATTCCAAGAATTTGACAAAGAACTGAGACTTTGGCCCTGTTTTTCAGAATCTGCATGCCAAAAAAAAAAAAAAAAAATCCAATTTGATTTTTCTGGCACTGCAACCATGGATTTATATGGTAACCAACAAATATGAACATAAATTATATTTACCCATGTAATTACCACATAAACTTACTGATAAAACATTTGCACATTTACAGGAAAATGCATAATCCTGGATATCTTTACATGGTTATAATTTATTGTTACATTTTTTATTGTAATAACTCTCTCAAGCATGTGCTTTGAAAAGAAAATAGGCTTCTGAAACAGCAAACGACAATGATCTGGAAACTTTTCTGATGGATATATTCTGCTCTCGCAGCTTGCATAATTTTAGGGAAATATTCTGAGACCACTTGGTCAAGATATTAACATAATTTGTCACACAAGAACTCTCTGACCTTCCACCATGAAGAACTGAAGTGAAACACGGTATTATCACCTTGCATTGACATATCTCTCTTTAAACAAAAAACAGATTTACTCGACGAAGAGCTAGTCCTAATGGAGACTATGTTAGGGTATCCGATACTGGAATTATTCAACTTCCCAAGCCCCTGGACAGAGAATTCAGCTCCTCATACAACATCACTGTAGCAGCTCAGGAAATCCTTGAAGACGGTAAGTGCTATCCACTTCCCTATTTGAGAGAAATCAGTGTACAACTTTACAGCAGGACTGTAGCTTATCAAAAACAAAAGCCGCATCCTGACAGCCTGTTTCCACTAAGCTACGAATAAAAGGGATGCTTGCAGGGTTTGCACAATAATCTTCCAAATCAAATGAGTACCTACAAATAGGTCAAATCCAGTTTTAATATTTGGCCCCTGGCTATTATAAAGATGCATTCAGTTTGTTGCAAGGAATAAAAAGGGTATGAGAAGAGGAAGCAGCTTGGGAAACAGGGATAAGCCTGTGGTTAGAGCAGAAACGTCCCAGCCAGCTTCACCCACTTACAGAGTTACAAAATCCCCCTCCCACGCTGCCACCCAGGCAGTGTTGCTGCACAGCCATCTCCGCATAGCTTCGCTCTGGTTCAGGAAGCAGGGCAGGCCCGGGGACCAGTCCCAACTCAATTTGGGGGAGGCCAGCCTTTTCTGGAGGGTGAAAGATATTTAATAATATAGACATGGCCTGTTGCCTTAGTGCCAGAGAATGATGCTGGATCCCATAGCCACATAGTGTGAAGAATCAGGAAGCCATAAGCAATTGTCATTTTCTTCCTCATAGATCCCCAATGATCTAGCCCAATAGGAAAGTTTTTAGGAAAATATCTGAATCTGTCAAAGGAAAATTTTAAATTAACAATGGAGCTAGAAACTCTCCGTATTCGTCATCCAGGACGCACAGAGGTGGAGACAAACAGCAGAAAGGGAGGGCTGGACAGCACTGAGATTCCAGGCATCTCAGAGACCTGTACTGTTGTTCTTGTAATTTCAGGACGTCTTTCTGACAGAGAATCCCATGCCCAAGTTCATGTAATAGTTACTGATGAAAATGATAATGCTCCAGAACTTGTTTATCCTGAGGAACCCAGAGTGTGTGAAAATGCAGCACCAGGAAAGGTGAGACAGGAGGGAGAGTTTTTCCCTTAAATCTGAATTATCTACTCTCAAGCTCAAGAGAAAGATGTCTTTTATTAAAAGTTAGTCTCGGTTTTCATACCCAAGCACCTGATCATCTTTCACTGATTTCCAAAACGTCAGTGGTCAGAAATCTCTCTTCAGGACTTTACACTATTGGAATATTGACTTTTATCTGCTTACGCACATGAGCTGCACAGTTCCTCTCCCTCCAGGCTTTTAAGTACGTACGCGCATTAGCAATTGAACCATGAAGTACAGTCAAGCCTTGCAGAGCAAAAATTAGCAATACAGTTTTACCACACAGATGTTCATACATGATACTGCGAACAAAACCATTTCAAAATACTAAGAGAATCATTGCTGCATCTAACATTGTAGTATCCATCAGAGTGCAAGTATCTGCATGCGCAAATAGTGTTAGTATTTGTGGGTTTAGATGTTTAGCCTCAGACACAAGTATTTAGCCCATACTTTCTGTATTTTTATTTATTCTTTATATATAAAGCCCATAATCTTTCTTTAATTAAGAGAGTTTGTCAGAAACTGGGCTCTCTGATGGAATCTGTTAGAACACACAAGGTATTATTTCACCTTTAATTTAATTTTTAAAATACCTTTGGGACATAATCATACACATTTTTTATACTTTGCACATCTAATGTACCCCAGGTTGAAGTTTTCAAAAACAGGCATGTCATTCAAGAGTGGCAGTCTCAATGACATTCAGTGAATGAGAGTCCTACTTCTAAGTTCAACAGTTTAGAAGACATCCACCTTACGTATTTAAATGAGCCATATGTCTTTGAGCATAAGACATCTTTTACCCCTTAATTACACAAGATTTCCTCTTTTGTTTCCCACCTGTGAAGGAAGGGGCAAGACTGCTCTTTTTGAAGACCTACAAGGAAATGACTTGCCTTGAAAGAACTTGAAAAAGAATATCACAAAATATCTTTGTCCCACTCTTTACTGAAGGGTTATACAGAATACACAGTCCAGCTCTAACTTAAATACTGTAAGTGGTTTTATCACGGGAGGCAATGTATTCTGAAAATCATGACCTATTCCACCTTTGTAGGTAATCATCAGGATTTCAGCTACTGACAGGGATGAAATATCACCTAGAGGTTTCTTCAGATACTCCCTGGCCACAGAAGACAGCAACTTCTCCTTGGTTGAAAACTACGGTAGTGTATTCCTGCAATGCATTTTGTCAGCTAGCCAAAGTGAGACACTAGGACACAGGGGAGAAAAGCTGTAGCAATGACCTATAATTGGTCTAGCTGAGCTAAGAAACAATTTATTTTTAAAGGCTTGACTTACTGAAGAAAAATGTTGTTTGTTGCCACCCAAGTTCCACTGGGCTCCCTAAAAACTGGCTCTGTCTAAGGGGAAAATGTACCAACTGACTGATAATCTATAAGGAAAATCTGGTAGAGATTATCACTTAATTAGATGTCATTACTTCTTCCAGATAACACAGCTAATATCACTGTCAAATATGGACAGTTTAATCGTGAACTTGCCAAAATCCACTACCTGCCTGTCATCATCTCAGACAACGGTGATCCAGAGCTCAGCAGCACAAATACACTTGTCATCAGTGTCTGCAAGTGTAATGAAAAAGGCAACATCACTTTTTGTGAGGAAAGATCTAAACAAGTTGGAGTTAGTATACAAGCACTGGTGGCAATTTTTATCTGTCTCTTCACAATCATTAGTAAGTATTTGACTTTTGTAATGTTCTCTGACTTAAAATGTGGGGATTGTTTTGTTTTGTTTTTTAACTGAGATCTACAAAAGCTTTGTGGCTATAAAATGGTCACAAAGGCAGAAATACTGTAACTATTTGATTCATCTCACTTGCTCTTTCTATTTGGTCTGTTAGCATAGTTTCATTAACAAAGCTGGTCATTCTATTGGAGAGGCTGAGTCACTGGAAAGGTTATTGCACGTATGCATAATATACCCGATTTACTGTTACTAGGCTCACGTGCAGCTATAAAACAGGAAATTCGTGCTGGGGCAATAACAACAGGATTCCTGTTTCCAAAGGCTGAATTAGTCTGGAAACCCTTTAAACAGTACAGTGAACATATATACATAAATAAATCTGTAACAAATCAGCAGACCAGTACCTATTTGCTGTGTTTGGAATCTATCAGAGAAGGGGCAACATTTCTTCTTGCTTGAGAAGAGGCCTCCTTTGCAATTACCACATAAGTAGCATTTGATGCCTGGCATTAAAAGATTTACCAGTTCAAGACAGTAGTTGATTCAATGAACTTGTAACACTACGCATTTGTACTTTTGATTCCAGCACAAGAGTCAGTTGTACAATTCCTGTACAGACTGAACTGCTTTGAGAACATACAAATCCCACAGTTAAACAGTATTTTAAACTATTTTTCTAATAAATGTGTGTTAAAAAAATTCACTCCAGAAAAAAAGACACTTCAGACTGTGTTATATATCTTAAATGCAATTTGTTTTACTTCCTTACTTCTCTATTTACACATGCTCACTTAAGTTTTCTTTGCAGTAATCATATTGCTAATTCTTCTAAGAAAGAGACACAAGAAGGATTTGAGCGGTCTTGGGAGGAATGTGGCAGAGATTCATGAGCAGCTTGTCACTTATGATGAAGAAGGTGGTGGTGAAATGGATACCACCAGCTACGATGTATCTGTACTCAACTCTGTCCGCAAGAATGGTATAAAGCCAGAAGCAGTTCCCTCTCCATATGCACAAGTCCAAAAGCCTCTTGGAAATATAACTTCTGGTGCTGGAGAAATGGAAATGATGATTGAAGTTAAGAAGGATGAAGCTGACAATGACAGGGATTTGCTGCCATATGACACACTTCACATTTATGGCTACGAAGGTGCCGAGTCCATTGCAGAATCTCTCAGTTCTTTGGAATCAGGCTCCTCAGACTCAGATATTGATTATGACTTTCTAAATGACTGGGGACCCAGGTTTAAAATGTTAGCTGAGCTGTATGGATCAGAACCAAATGAAGATTTTGTGTATTGAGTTCAAATTGGCCATGAATTTTCTCCCTACCACTACAGATAGACATCAAGAGCCTGCCAATGGCCAAAGAACTCATGCTCTTCACCCAAGCCATACTAGGATTTCAAACAGACATGAAAAAAAAACACAAAACTGTCAGCAGCAGGGTTAAAAAGAATCACACAGATCATGTATATTGACTTCCCCCAGCACTGCTATCCTTGTTAGCAGTCAGTGTTTTCCACAAAATTGCTGCTCGAGGACCTGCTCGAGTCTTCTAGGACACAACTACACAACTCTTCTCCCTATCCAGATAGACACTTCTCCTTAAAAGTGGTTTTTTCCCCAGTTTCTCCTTCATTCCTCTTCTCCTGTACTGTTTTCATCAACATGCATTCAAGGTCACCATCCGTTGGAACAGGGAGGTTCAGGAGCATTGGGAAGGAATGTTCTGAATAACCTCCTGTATCTCCATCCAGCTGCCTTGCCTGGCCCTCTTGTAACATCTTTATTGATATTCCACGCTTATGCTTACCCAGCAGAGGAGAGGAGGAACATATGGTCTATCACTTAATATCAGAAATTATTCCATCACTTTCAAAAAGAGGCATGATTTTTTTCTTCTTTCCAATCTATTAATTATTCTTGCTTTATAGTCTTCTACTACATATATGAGTTACTAAGCATAAAATTAGACAGGATTTTTACATGCACAATCTGTTTTCATCTGTCATTTTTAACAGCCTGATGATGATTTCAGGCACCTTTCTGGCATGCTAGAATTTGCTCTAGCTAGCAGCAAACTTGTTTTTCTTTCTGTAAATAGGATCTCAGTGTTACTCAATGGAACATATCCCGCAGGGCAAGAAATGTGGAGATCAGGGGAATGTTAAGACTCCAATACTGTAAATCTCTCCAGATGGCAACATAGGTATCTCTAGATTTCTAAAGAGGTTGTGAATAGGCTTTTTATTCAACATTATTAAAGTCATTGTATTTTTTCAGGGACAAACACATGAAGGGCCTCATTACTGTGAAACTGTTTTGATTTTTTTCTAAGCAGGTACTGTAAAACGGGTATTTTCCATCTAGGAAAATATTGTAGACTTCCAAACCAGAATGCTAAATACCCACACATTTGTCTGCATAAAAGAACCACAAATGTAAGTAAGGTTTTGGAGCTGCAACCGCTATGTCCCTGGTAAGCATGTGTTTAGTTTCTCGCTTGATGAAGAGCCACAGAATGAACAGAATGAAACTTCCCATGCAGGAAGTTACCCAGCCAAATACATTTTGTAAAAAGTGGGTCTCTTAGGACAATGGCCTGTCTCTGGCTTCTGGCAATGCAGATTCCCATTGCCTTCAACAGGAACAGAGCCCTACCACACAGATACTCAATTTTGCAGAATCTGTGCTGGAGCTGTATGTATTAGTTTAGTTGATTTGATTATTTAAATTTGGTAGCTAACCAAATAACACTAAATCTTTTTTTTTTCCTAAACCAATGTAGTGGAACCTCACAAATTTGCTTTTCACTTATTCACGTCATCTCTAATTTACATTCCCTTCCCCCCAAATGCTTTCCTGGCAGGAAATAGCAATGCACTGTAATATGGTCTCACAGTAGTCCTCACTACTGCAAAAAGTTGTCCAGTACAATACTGAGCTGGGCACTAATGCCTACTACCATCAATAACACAATCACTCAAATTTTCAAATATAAACTAAAGGAAAACTAAGTAGAATTCTGCCCATCAGTCAAATCAGCTTTGGATCACATCCTTTATAGAAGAAGTACATTTTGGGATGACAGCCTTGGTTTTATTTTTAATGTGTTCTTTCTCTCCTGTTTTGCTTAATCCAGTCAACAGTGTATGCTATTGAGGTTCCACATGTTAGTATATTATAAAGAATGCTAACTAATAATACTTACATTTTAAGGTTTTCATCAGTAACTAAGGTATTGGCTATCAACAGGTAAAGTTAGTTATGAAATTAGTTAGTGCAGTAAGTAATGTACTTTGGTAAGCATCACCCAGATAGTATTACCTGTAATCGCTATTTTTAAGCCTGTTTTTATAAAGCTGTTTTAAGGAACACTGTATCAATTTTCACTGTATAAAGATGTTTGCACTGGATAGTTTCTTTTTATATTCCTGTACTGTATTTTTTTTTTACTACATAAAAGCCAATCTCAAGTTTGGATTTTCTGTGCATTAATGAGTTTCACACAGAAGACAATACCAGACTTTGTACCACAGTGAACTCAACCATAAAAACACCAGTATCTACGCTCTAAGCGAACTCAGGCTAGACACAAATTCACCAAAGGACTTTCCATAAAAGGGGTTTTCTCCCACTCTTTGGAAAGCTGTCAGTAAAGCTCCTGGGGTAAGGAAAAGGCCCAACAGTGCAGTCTGGTTTCAGCAGCTGGTCAGGTTGAACCCTCTAGCTTTGGAGGACTCGTGTCTGCCAGTGCTACAGGATGCATTCAGTTTCCGAGCAGATGTTTGGTATTTTAGCAGCCAGGCATGGGGGTGATTTTGAACCACCATGTTTACTGAGATCCTGCCCTTTTTTTCCTACTAGGAAGGTACTCCTCTCAAATGGTAAAGGGCACGCTGCAGAACAGAAAGCACTGACAACCTGACACACTGCCCACCTGCGGGGAACCACACATATGCCCACTACCTGAGTGGTCTGTCAGTGTTACCTCAATGGGAGAAAAGGATGACACCCCCAGCACCAGCACCCCGGCCCCTGCCCTGCTTTCTTCCTCTTCTCTGATCTGCTCCTACAGCCATCTCCAAGCAGGATTACTCTGTAGTACACAAAAAGCTCCAGCTTTCTCACAGTCCAGGATTTAGATAGGACATGACAGAACAGTACACACCTCTGTGACAGGAGAAAAAAAATGACCCCTAAATTTGCAGCTTTAGATAGCAGAGTTTCTTACCATTTATTTTTGTTACTAATAATGACTACACCAATATAGTCCCAAGATTATTCCAGCGCTTTAAAAAAATCACATCAATTTTCCCCAGATATGGCACTTATAATTTACAAAGCCTGGAATAAAGCAAAGAAGTTCAGTTCCTTCACTGCTAATTGCCATGAGCAAACTCCAGATCAAACACACTTTAGCACAAGTTGTATTAAAAACACAATAGATGTGCTAATTATGTTATAATGAAATGCATTTTTCCATAGAAACAATTTGATTAAACAGCTACTTGCAACTTGTAGCAGAGATTCTCATAAAGCTTTTCATTATTCATTTAATTAATATGCATTTTAATCTCTTATCCCTAAAAATATATAATAAATTATTATTTTATTACATTCAGATGCAGAAGTTCATGCCATTTAATAAAGGTTTTTTACTCCCAACCCATTAGAATTTTTGATGAAATAATGACTTGTGATCAGAATCCTCGATACGTATCAAAGCAGCAATGAAAAGCTCTTTGAATATTAACACCTGGCACACTGCTGTGCTTCCCAGATAGGTCAGGTGAGCTACGGTCCCATTATCAAAACAAATTTCCACTGTTCAGAGAACGAAAGAACAATTGTATCAGGTATTATGTGATTACAGTCCAGTACTACTGATACATTGTCAAGAACAATAAAACAGCAAATCCAGGGAAAACAGAAGCATTAGTTATAAAAGGAAAAAACCCCATCTTTTCTGAGTTCTTGTTCTTCAATTAGTCGGTTCTTCCCTTTTCTCCTTCCAGGAACAAGGGCTTAGAATAGCACCAGAAGAGACCAGCCAACCTGGCAATCAGCCCTGCTCGAGCCAGGTATTGCCATCCAGCCTGGAGTAACTGTAGTGAGCAAGTCACGTAAAGCCACGCTGCTTTATTGGAGCTTAGAGTTTGGAATACAGATCTAGCTATGTACATTTATTTTAACTGTTTTCACTCCTATGCATATGTCACACGCAGGGGAAATGCTCATGGTGGTAGTAAACATGCAGATAACTATCCTATTGGGCCAGAAATAATAGTTATACTTATTTCCACTATATTTCAGCTGGGGCTAGGACAGAAAAAAAGAATATTCGCCATCTTTCCTGATCTATTCTCTCTTCCTACTTTTTTTTTTTTAATAACTGTTTCAAGTTTGAGGGAGTAAGAAACAAAACTCTTGTGATTTTACCTTCACATGCTTCCTGGAATGAAAGAAATCACCGAGGTGATATCTTTCCCATTTAAGAAGCTATCACAATTTTACTGTAGCACAAATCATCAAGTCTTACCAGGAACTGAGTAAGAGTCTGATCAGATCAAAGTGGATGATTTAGCATAAATCTAGTCCATAGGAAAAGCATGACAGAAAACAAAACAGCAAATACACCCTTTTAGTCTGCATCAGAAAAAGGAAAAGAAAACAAAAACAGCAAAACGATTTATGAGCAATAAAAGCCCATGGATCTTTGCTGACCTCTCTCAGCTGCCTGACTTTGATCCTGCCTGACCTGAAAGAAAAGGGAAAAACAGCATTTCCTCCACTTCCACCCAGCAGGGGGCTGTCCCACCTGCTTTCCCACAAGATCCTCTTAATTCGTTCTAGTTAACCCCTTCATCAATGCCACAATCAATCATAAATCTCTGCAATTCTTTCATTCCTCATTAAAAAGGAACCTTTATTTGAAAGCCAGTGCTCTGAATGGAGCTACCAAAACAAGCAGAATGAAGCAAGGCAGAGTTCACCAAGCAAAGACATCTAAAAGATAAGCCAAATGAGGTTTTTCAGAAAGTCAGTAACAGCTGGACTGCAAATGGTCCAAGGAGCTCTTCTGGCAGCCTCACTAGAGCCCAAGGCCTGACCCACAATGCCCTCTACAAACCAGTTCATTCTCAAATGGAAAGGTTCAAAAGGAGGCATCACGTAGCCACCTGCTGCTCCGACCTGCAGAAAACCTCCTACATTGCAGATATTTCTTGGGACATGTCTAGCCACTACAAACTACTTTTATGCAACTGGCATAGCACAGAGAAAACAGACTGAAAGTG